ATTTGTATAAAAAAAAAATTGGGATTAATTAATAAATACAAATTCGTGTATTTATCCCAAATATTCGGGTGCATTTACTGATTTGATAAATTTGTGTTTAAAAATAAATAATAATACAAAACTAAAAATTAAAAAATTAAACGTAGTCTTAGAAATTACTCCGTAGAATATGTCTCTTTCGTCGTTCCTTCGATCAATCGTCAATGGTTGTGTTTTGTATTTAAAACGGGAGAAAATGCAAAGCGTGTTGGACTATTCTACATAAATAATATATTTTATTATTTTCAGAAGTGAATAGCCACTGCCCACTGGACGTCTGGACGGCTTGGATGACATTAGAGAATAGCGCAGCTTCTAGTCGGTTAGAAGTCGGCGGGGACGTGATCCAGTTAGAGTGGACTGCAGACGGATAACGCCGACATCGTTAAACAACATTAGCAGAATCCTCCCGCCAACTTACTCATAATTTTTTTTTTTTTTTAAATTAAAATCAACATACCGCTCCTATTGACAACAAGAGATGAAATGTTATAGGAAAAATGGATTAATATTATTTTCAAACTCTCGGATGGTCTACCGGGGATCCAACACAACCGGTTTAACAAAAATTAGGTACGAGAAATATGTAAAGAAGACTGAAATTTTAACGTGGAAATCAGGACAAGAATGTAATATTTTGCTAGGTGATTTGTAGATGTTTGTATAAGAATGAAGTTGTCTCACTTTCTCTCAAATGCAGGAACTCTTTTGTAAAAAAAATGGAGCCCCCTTCCTCTCTTCTTATAGCTACAAGATACTACAATGTAATAGAGTCAGTAGCTTTTAAAAAAATACTAAATAGTGGGTAAGGGATTTTTAAGGGTAGTTAATAGGGTAATTAATTGGTGGTTAGTGGTAATTTAAGGAGTAATAAGTTTGGGGTTAGAGGGTTTTAATGGGGGATCATGGGTTTTTATGACTAATGAATTTGAAGGATTATGGGGTAATAAATGCGTAGTAAAGGGTAATTATTTTGGGTGTTATGGAGGGGTATTTGGGTAATTTAGCTTAGGGAGGTAAAAATTGACCGTTGATCACGTCTTGATTTGTTGCTAGGTGGTCTGACCTGGTTCCCATGTTGGGTATCCATTTATATATTGATGGGTTACACTTATTCAATTGGTCGAGAAGTTCATCAATTTATGTCTCTTTGTAAGCTCGAGTAGATAAAAGACAATTGAGTGTGTGTAATAGGAGGCAAAAGCATGTCTCAATGTCAAATGTAACTTGTTTGATCAACTGAACTGTTAAGCCATATAGGAAGAGACATGTGGAAGCATGACAATATCTCACCTTAGTACAAATGACTAAATGTATAGTATAAAAAGCTCGGGTTACCCTGCTAAAGTGAACATTTGACACTCTCTGCACTTTTGACATATTGCTCAATTATAGTATTCAATTGTTCGTAATGTCGGGAGTGACCATTTAACATCTTCTCTATATACAATTACTCTACTAATTTTACAACTCCTATATTTTCACTATAACCTTTCATTTGTAACATCATCTTAATGAACTTTTTAAATATTTGATTAGTAAATAAATTATTTTTAATTAGTGGTAGCTTCAGCAAATTCATTGACATCCCAATGAATAAAAGCAACTTCAAGACGTTAAAAGAAATTGGAGGAAACAAAACAACATTAAGCGAAAAAAATACATTTTAGTTTATTTTTATGGAAAAAACATTACATATTTATTCGGTGGTTTAGGATAGTGACACTCTCTTAAACATTTTCGGATTATTTAAAACTTCTGAAAATTACTATTTTTGAAGAAAAGAAATACTGCAAAACATAGAAGCTTGTAATAACTAATTGCAAAAAGAACTCTGATTGTCTATTCACTTTACAAGGAAAAGAATTATTTTATAAAATTCAATTTTACAAATTTGAAAACGAACCCAAAAAAATATGTTTTAAAAATAAAATTTCATTATGATGAGTGGGATCGCATGATCCACTTATTGTGGGCCTATAGATTGTCATGAATGAACATATTGTAAATAAGCCCATCAAACTTTAATTTCAATGTTATTTTGCTTTAGACTAAAAGGTTCCACAATAGATATGCCATTGACCCGGATCAACATAAACAATTTATATACTGAATGTTCATAATTTGAACTGTGAATATTCAGTATATCTAAAATTGTGATCTTTCAGTATATAAATGATGTATTTTTTTATTCGGATCCACCTTGCAAGGTAGAATCGAGTCCACAGTATAATTTACCAAATATACATAATTATATTACATACCTCAATTTTAACCAAATAGGAATCTAACATTCAGAGTAATCTAACATTCTCAGCAATCTAACATTTCATAAGCTAATCTAACATTCTGTGAATCAAACGATCCCTTAAGTCAAACTGGCATTCCCTTTTTAAAAATTAAAATAATAAATTCATGTTATCTTAAAATAAGTGTGATGGGGTAAGGACCCCGGCCCAAGAGATAGGGGCCCAAAGGAAATGGTTCAAGACAGGAGAGGTGGGCCAGCGCCTGAGGAGCCCGAAGAACAATTGGGCCGAGTCCTGGAGTCGGCCCAAGCCCAAGCACGGGGCCCGGATCAGAACTGCTAAAGAGGAGCCCAGTGGGAGCTCAGGCTAAGACGAGGAGTCGACCAAGGCCCAAGCCCAGGAGAAGACTCGGTTCAAGGAGCCGTTGAGAGCATTGAAGAGGCTTGTTTAAAAGGGAGTCGTTAGGGCATTGAAAGTAGGACCCGGTCAGGCTGTTACAAACCTGGAAGAGCCGTTGGTCGACCGAGTAATGGCATCCAACGGCTCCATATTTTAATTAGTCTTGAAGTTGGCCATTAAGGGCCTTCAAGTCGGTAGAGGAGGAGTCGCTATATAAAGGCTCCTCCATTCTTATAAAAGGGGACAACTGAACACCCAGGGAGGGGAGAACACCCAGGCATACATTTTTACTGAAAGGTGCGCCCTCCAGCCAAAGGTTGTGTTGGACCTCCTTGGGCCTGAAAACCCTAAAACCATCACTGGCGCCGTCTGTGGGGATCGAACCCACGACCACGTGTCCTCTTGAGTGAGGCGAGTCCGAGGAACGACAATTAGAATCTCAGTCGAATTAGAAAAGCTCCAGACATGGCAGGAAGTGAGGAACAATCGAGCCGTCATGACAATGGACGGGAGGCAGACCTCAGAAGCCAGCTGAATCGGAGAAACGCCCGGAGCCGGGAAAATGAGACAACACCGTTGCCGACACCACAGATAAACCAACAATTGCCCCAAGTGCTGCTCACCCCGGAGCAGCTACGCGCAATCGGGCGCGCCTGCGCCGAAGCAAGCCTAGGAGTGAGAGAACAGTCCGTCACTCGCCAGCCGCAACGCGAGTTACAGCCGCTTCATAGGCCCGACAACCGGCAACAGAGCCGACGGGCCGAAAGCCAATCGGTACAGTCCGTTCATTCCCGGCTGGGTCCTAGCGTTGGGCGTCGGTCGGCAAGAGAACGATTGGGTCGGAAGGAACCCAGTCGTGCCCCATTAGCCGCTCGCGATCGACAAGCTGCACGAGAGAAGAACCGTACCAAAAGAGCCAGGACTGAGACTCGTCGCGTGGAGCAACCTCCCCGCAACCCCGACCAGCCGGCTGAGTCTGAAGTCGGTGAGAGCACGGAATCCACAGGAAATCGCACCCGGGAGAGGGTCGAAGTGGCGAACTTAGTGCAAGAAGTGCGAAATCTGAAAGAACGGATGGAGGGGAAAGCCAAATCCCCAGGACGTACGTTACTGACCGCCTTACCCTTCTCGGACAAGGTTATGGCTTTTAAGATACCGGGTGATTTCAAGTTCCCGGAGCAGGCCTCGTTCGATGGAACCGGCGATCCCCGGGAGCATTTGCTGAGCTACCAGGCTAAGATGCAGGTTTTGGGGGTACGAGATCCGGTCATGTGCCGCACTTTCTTACCCACGTTGAAAGGGTCAGCACAAAGGTGGCTAGTGGCGCAGCCCTCGGGGTCGATTCACAACTTTGAAGAGCTGGCAGACCGCTTCATGAGCCATTATGCCGCTAATATCAAACCACAAAAGGACCTAACACACTTGGGCGACATTCGTCAGGATGAAGGCGAGTCCTTGAAAACCTATCTGGCCCGCTGGCAGAAAGAAATCCAGTCCATAGAGGAGGTCGAGGACCAGACGGCGCTCACCTTCTTCATCGAGTCCTTGCGGTCCGGCCAGCTATACCGAGACCTGAGGGACAATCGCCCAGCCACCTACGCAGAAGCCATTCATATGGCCAACAAGAGGGCCAACACAGAGCAGGCTATGAAGTATAAGAGGCAGCGCGAAGTCGGCGGATCCACCAGCGGGAAGAGGACGCGAGCTGAAACCAAGGAAAGGCGCCCGGACGTAACTCGGCGACCCGAGGTCAGACGGCCGTACGACAGACCCGTCGTCCACGCCTATCGACCGATTCCCGAACATCCGGTCCACGAGATACAAGCGGTTGCCCCGCCTCCGCCTCCGCCGACCGACGATCGCGCGACGAACAAAGAGATGGGTAAGACCTCTAAGTATTGTCGTTATCATAAATCTTATACTCACAGCACGGAGGAATGCTTCTACCTGAAGAAGATCATGGAGGGTATCATTCAGCAAGGAACCCCGCCTCCTAATCAGTGGAGGCAGAGATCGGTCAATCGAGGGGATGAGGATCCCGCCGCCGTTGCCGAAAACAGTCGAGGCAAGCAGCCGGCTCCCGAAGAGGAGGAGGCTCAGTGGCGTCAAAAGCCGGTTATCAACATGATAGTCGGCGGGCCGGAAGGTGGTGACTCAACGAACACCAGAAAAGCCTGGGCCCGCCAGTTGTACGTCGGAACGGTGTACGGACGCGAGGAGAACCCTAAAAAGGTGTGCCGAGAGCCCATCGTGTTTACCGACCGAGATTTACCAGCCGGGGAAATACCGCATCGAGAGGCGTTGGTTATAGCCATGGACATCAATGGCGTTGTCGTTCGACGAATCCTGGTAGACACCGGAAGCAGCGTCAATGTGCTATACCTAGAAACTTTCATCAAAATGGGAATGACTCGAGAACAGCTGAGTCCTGTCAAAACTCCCCTCGCCGGTTTCACAGGGGACTCGGTGGAGGCGGAAGGATCGATCACACTTCCAGTTGAGGTCGGCAGTTACCCAGATGTACAGAAACTCAGCATGAAGTTCATTGTGGTGAACCTGGCCTATTCGCATAACGCTATACTCGGCCGACCGGGTCTCGAGGATCTAGGAGCTCTGATTTCGATCGAGCATCTTTGTTTAAAATTCCGCACGCCAAACGGAATAGGCACGGTGCGCTGTGACCGTAATGTTGCCCGCGACTGCTATCTACAGGCATGCCAGGGGGATGGGAAAACGCGAGATACAGGTCCATGAGATCACCGAGAGGCCCCAAAAAAAAACGATAATACTACGTCTAGAGCCTGCCGTCGAGTTGGAAGAAGTCGAGATCGACTCCACACAGCCGGACCGACGGGTCCGAATTGGAGTCGGCCTCCCCGAGGAAGTAAAGGAAGAAATTATAAAGGTGCCCCGGGAACACCGGATGGTCTTCGCCTGGTGCCCGGAGGACATGCCGGGCGTCGACCGATCGATCATATCGCACAGACTCGCCGTGGATCCCGGGCATCGACCGGTTGTGCAGAAGAAGCGATACCTGGCCAACGACCGAAGAGAATTTGTGAAGAAGGAAGTGAGCACGCTACTAGCAGCCGGACACGTCCGCGAAGTTAAGTACCCAGAGTGGTTGGCGAATGTGGTCCTTGTACCCAAGCCCCCGGCGTGGCGGATGTGCGTGGACTACACCGACCTTAATAAGGCCTGCCCAAAAGACCCGTTTCCCTTACCTCGGATCGATCAACTGGTCGACGAGACGGCGGGGTCGGCACTGTTGAGCTTTATGGACGCCTTTAGAGGGTACCATCAGATATTCATGCACTCGGCGGACGAAGAAAAGATCGCGTTTTTGACACCGGACGGAGTTTATTGTTACCGAGTCATGCCCTTCGGGCTCAAGAACGCCAGAGCCACATATACCCGAATGGTGGCCTGATTGTTTCAGCACCTGCTGGGAAAATCGATGGCCGCGTACGTCGACGACACGCTCGTCAAGAGCCGAGAGGAGAGCAAACACGCAGAAGATTTGGCCGACTGCTTCAAAGTGATGATAAGGTACAACCTCCGGCTGAACCCTAAGAAATGCGCGTTCGCCGTGCAAGGTGGAAAGTTCCTGGGCTACATGGTCACCAAGCGAGGTATCGAGCCTAACCCTGAGAAAGTACAGGCCATCGTCGACATGCAGCCTCCCAGCACTATAAAAGACCTGCAACGGCTGACCGGCCGATTGGCCTCCCTTAGCCGCTTCCTAAGCAAGGCGGCAGATAAGACCGTGCCTTTCTTCGAAGCCATGAAGAAGAAGGAAGGATTCGCTTGGACCCCGGAGTGCCAGCAGTCGTTTGAAGAATTGAAACAATACCTCTCGACGCCCCCGGTATTGTCTACCCCCCAGGCGGGCGAGCCCTTATTTCTGTACTTAGCCGCCTCCTGCAAAGCGGTGAGTTCGGTGTTGGTCCGAGAGGAAAAGCGAGTCCAGCACCCGGTTTATTACATGAGCCGGTCTCTGAAGGCTGCCGAGTCAAGGTATACCGCCTTGGAAAAGATCGTATACGCGTTGGTGATCACCGTGCGCAAGTTGGCACCCTACTTCCAAGCCCACACCGTCCGAGTACTGACGGACCAACCACTCGGAAGCGTTTTGCGAAACCCATCGTCGTCCGGCCGCCTGGTAAAATGGGCCGTAGAACTAACCCAGTATGGGATTGAGTACCAGCCCCGGCCTTCATAAAAGGGCAAGCCTTAGCCGACTTCTTGGTCGAATGCACGGCGAGCGAGGAAGAAAAGGAACACGCCACGGAGAACTGCTTAGGCGAGTGGTGGGAAATGCATGCGGACGGAGCATCAAGTCGACAGCACCGTGGAGGTGGTGTTGTGCTTATCACTCCCGAAGGATTCCGACTGTATTATGCCCTGAGCTACCTGTTCCAAGCCTCCAACATCGAGGCCGAGTACGAAGCTGTGTTAAACGGCCTCCGACTCGCCAGGGCCCTAGGGGTCGAGAGGTTACGAGTCAAGACTGACTCTAGGTTAGTAGTCGGGCAGATCTCAGGCACGAGCGAGGCCAAGAATGCCCGGATGACTTTATATAGAGAGCGCGCAGTCGAGATGTTAAAAGAGTTCGAAGCCTACGAAATAGAGTATATATCCCGGACGAATAACATAGAGGCGGACATATTATCCAAGATTGCCTTGGAGGGAGTACCGGACCACTTGGCAAAAATCTGTCAGAGGGAGGAGCTAAGTCGACCAAGCGTTGAAGAAACACCGTTAAGGATCCAGCAAGTGACCGGCGAAGAATGGAACCGAGAGAAAAACCCCGAGATGTTCTGGATAGAGGACATCCGGCGATTCATAGAAAAAGGCGAGTTACCGCTAGACCCGGGAGTCGCCGCAAGGGTTCGACGAAAGGCCCCCTCTTTCCAAATCATTGATGGGCAACTATATAAACGATCATTCGGATGACCTTTGTTAAAATGTTTGCTAAGGCCCGAGGCCGAGAAAATAATGGACGAAGCCCATAGAGGCATTTGTGCCGCGCACCAAGGCGCCCACACGCTTGCTCGGAAGTTGGTTGTCCAAGGATATTATTGGCCAACCATGATGCGAGACTGTATTGAATGGATATCCAAGTGCAGCGTTTGTCAGGCATTCGCCAAGAAAGACACTCGGCCAGCTACTTTTTACACGCCGGTCACCACCGCTATCCCATTTGCCAAGTGGGGGATTGATTTGCTGGGCCCATTACCAGTCGCCCCCGGAGGCTTAAAGTTCTGTGTCGTAGCTATCGACTACTTCACCAAGTGGGTTGAGGCGGAACCACTGGCTACCATAACCGAGTACCAATGCCGACACTTTTTGTGGAAAAGGGTGATTTGCCGCTTCGGCCTGCCCGAGCACATTGTCAGCGACAACGGGCGACAGTTCGATTGTCAGGCATTCGCTGACTTCTGCCGCCGGCATGATATCCGCCACACTAAAGTGTCGGTAGCATACCCGCAGGCCAACGGACAAGTCGAGAACGTGAACCGAACGCTGGTGGATGGGATTCGGAAGAAATTGGAAGATATTCGAGGGAATTGGGCGGATGAGCTTGACTGAGTCCTATGGGCTTATCGCACTACCCAACGACGAGCAACGGGAGAGAGTCCGTTCTCCCTCGCGTACGGCTTTGAGGCCAAGGTCCCAATTGAGGTGGTCGAGCCCACTCACCGGGTCCGTACCTATTCAGACACGGAGAACGAAGAGAGTCTTCGAATTGAGAAAAATTTCTTAGAAGAAAAGAGGGAAGTCGCGAGTGCGCGAATGATTGAATACCAACAGGCGGTAAAAAGATATCGCGATCGAAGGATTCGTCCGCGATCCTTCCAGGTCGGCGACCTCGTACTACGGGATCGACAGGCCAGTCAACCCACCGAAGGGGGCAAGCTTGCGGTTAAGTGGGAGGGACCATACCGCATCACCGCGGTTGTCCAAGCTGGAACCTACAAATTGGAAACCATGGAGGGCAAGCCCGTGGACCGGATTTGGAACGTTATCCACCTGAAGAAGTTCTACCAATAGAAAGGGACAAAACATGTATGGGCCCAAGGGTCCTGAAAGACTTGAATAAAAGTACAAGTTACAGTTAATCACTCCATGGACTCGGCGAGAAAGAGTTAGGAAACAAGGGCCCAGACCCTTAGTCGTTTCCGTGAAAAAGCCAAGAGGAGTCGCCTCGACTGAGGTACTCGGCGAGTATATAAAGAAACAACGGGGCACTGACCCTAAATCATTTCTGAGAAAGAAAAAGCCTAAGGAGTCGCCTCGACTGAGGGACTCGGCGAGAAAGAGTTAGGAAACAAGGGCCCAGACCCTTAGTCGTTTCCATGAAAAAGCCAAGAGGAGTCGCCTCGACTGAGGTACTCGGCGAGTATATAAAGAAACAACGGGGCACTGACCCTAAATCGTTTCTGAGAAAGAAAAAGCCTAAGGAGTCGCCTCGACTGAGGGACTCGGCGAGAAAGAGTTAGGAAACAAGGGCCCAGACCCTTAGTCGTTTCCGTGAAAAAGCCAAGAGGAGTCGCCTCGACTGAGGGACTCGGCGAGTATATAAAGAAACAATGGGGCACTGACCCTAAATCGTTTCTAAGAAAGAAAAAGCCTAAGGAGTCGCCTCGACTGAGGGATTCGGCGAGAAAGAGTTAGGAAACAAGGGCCCAGACCCTTAGTCGTTTCCGTGAAAAAGCCAAGAGGAGTCGCCTCGACTGAGGGACTCGGCGAGTATATAAAGAAACAACGGGGCACTGACCCTAAATCGTTTCTGAGAAAGAAAAAGCCTAAGGAGTCGCCTCGACTGAGGGACTCGGCGAGAAAGAGTTAGGAAACAAGGGCCCAGACCCTTAGTCGTTTCAGTGAAAAAGCCAAGAGGAGTCGCCTCGACTGAGGGACTCGGCGAGTATATAAAGAAACAACGGGGCACTGACCCTAAATCGTTTCTGAGAAAGAAAAAGCCTAAGGAGTCGCCTCGACTGAGGGACTCGTCGAGAAAGAGTTGGGAAACAAGGGCCCAGACCCTTAGTCGTTTCCGTGAAAAAAGCCATGAAGAGTCGCCTCGGCTGAGGGACTCGGTGAGCAGTTAAAGAAACAAGGTTAAAGAAAAAGCGTCGAGCTCAAGATAATACGAAAAGGAAGAGAAAACGGGAATTTTATTAAAGTTAAAAAAGGCCCGAGAAGGAGGCCAGCCTTTACAAAAGGGACTATCCCAAAAGAATAGCCCTAAACTACTGGGGAGGGGGTGTCAACATCAATCCCTTCGACTTGAGCCCCTGCCGTTGGTCCAGTCAGGGGAACAGAAGAAGGGTCCTCAGCCTGAAGAGAGGACTCGGCGAGCTCAGAAGGTGTTGCTAAAGGAAGAGTCGCCGGATCAGAGGCTGCCGGAAGAGCTGCCGGGTCCACAGTTGCCGACGGTCCTTCAGTCGCCGGAAGAGCATCTATCACGGGCTTGAGGCCCCAGCCCTCGGGAGTGAAAGAGGAGTCGCGAACCAGCAAGGCAGAATGGATTTCTATCTGCGCCTCGCGAAAGCCAAGGCGATAGTCACGCTCGCCCAAGTCCAGGAGGAACTCGTCACCATCCGGCGTTGACAGCCACTCCTTAGCAATTTCTTTTTGGCGAGCCTCTATCGCCGCCTTCACCTCCGCCTCGAAGGCGGCCGACTTCTTGTACTCCTCAACAGAGGTCGCAGCAATCGTCGCCACCTTGTCCCGCTCCTCCTCCCACTGAC